TTTTATGCAGTCCAGGTAGGACTAAACATTGGTTTCTATCCTAAATACCCCCAAGGGTATTAATTATAATAAAACAAAAAAAATAAAAAACAAAAATCGTAAAATAATCATAAAAAATCATAAAAAATCGTATGGAGTAAAAAAAGTAATAAAATATTTATATTTTTTTTTTTAAATTAATACTACATCCGTCCCATTTTCTGTGTCTTACTTTGACTTGACATAGTTATTAATGAAGTGGTTGAAAAAGTAAAAGTTGTGGTTGAGGTTTGAGTATAATAAAGTGAAATGATACAGGCCACGTGTTTCTTTCCAAAAAAGGAAAGGAGACACTTATTTTGGGATAACCCAAAAAGGAAAGTAGGACATGTAAAATGGGACGGAGGGAGTAATAAATAGTAAAAACCCATACAAAAAAAAAAACATGAATACCTTTCCCACCATCTCCCATCACTACTACCTCCGATCTGTGAAAATTCTGCAATTTTTTGTAATAAATATCATTTTTTTCTGTAAAAAATGTCATTTTTTTTCTTCTGATAATGCCAAGGAAATGACATTATTACTCTTCATAGTGCCAAAAGTTTGACTGAATCTGCCATTATTATGGCAATACTAAAAATGTTGGACTATTTTCACTGAACCTGCCATTATTATTACGTTTTTTATTTTTATTTTTTAATTTTTCGTTTTCTTTTTTATTTTTTATTTTTATTTTATAATCTTTTATTAATTTTTTTACTTTGTCTTTTTTACGTTTTTTAATATTTTGTTACGATTTTTATTATTTTTTATGATTTTATTGTTAATTGAGACATTTCAAAAGCTACAAGTTATATTTGTCCAAACACATAAATAGTCATACTAGGGAGAATTTTAAAAAATGTAATTCTATTTGTGCTCCTAGACCACAATTTTTTTTGGTCATGTTTAGGTAATTGAACATTTGATCGAGTGGAAGGGAGAAAAGAAAGTGAGAGAAAGATTTATATGAGAAGCAGTTTAGTGAACATATTTGTTTTTTGTTCTTATTAAGTGAGAGTTGTTGGTAAGTTGAGCTACCCCAGGCCAGTCGTTTAGGAAGTAATTGATTGGGTTTTTTAAGCGGTACAGAAAGTTGATAAAAACGAGGTGTGAACTGAATATATGAACGGCATTACGTAGGTAGTTAGTTTAAAAAAGTAAACATGTAACGTACGCCATTAATATGATTACCATGCATCTAATACTAAGTAAATGGAGATCCTCATGCAGAAAGCAGGTAAATAAGATGATCATAATGTGCATGACAAATGATGCACAGTTGAGGCAATTGATCGATAATTAATGATCTAGTTTAAATTTGGGATTTGGTGATAGATTACCGGTGGACAATAAAGGGCATTCCATTAATTTAACAGACAAAAATAAATTATTTATTGCGTCAACGGTAAAAAGTAAAAAAAGAAAGGCATGCACATTCGTATAATCGTATTTCGTACGCACCCTGGCCTAGCTTTTTTATTTTTATGCGTTAAAAAAGCAATAACATTCTGTTCGATCAAATTTTTGATTGGTTATTATTATGTTCTTTTGTGTGGAGTAATAGGAAATTGATTTTGAAATGAAAGAGAGAAAGAGGCATTCCGGATTGAGAATAAGTGTGAAAGGCACGAGACGATGGACGAATTGAATGGAAGAAACAATAAATGAATGATGGATTGCATGGATGGTACAACTACAGAGCGGGGGGGTGCATGGCGCTGTTGCTGCTGCTGTGATGAGGCTTATGATAACACACTCATCATAGTCACGTCGTTTTTCCTTCACGCCTTCCCACATTTCACCCTGGTCCCACTCCCCTCAATTCCAAGCCTGTTCCCCTTTTTCCTTCTTTATTCCTTTTCGATTGTAGTAGTACATTTCTATTCCGCTCACCCTACGCCAATAAAACAATAAATTAGTTCAATTCAATTTTCCCTTCTTTATATACATGCATTTTTAATTTGTAAACACTGAACACATCTCGAAATTCAAATTTATTTTCTTCTCGCTAATATATTAAATTCTTCATTGAAATTTCAAAAAAAAAAAACACACACAGTAAATTAATATTGCTCTACAACAACTTAACCTAGCTAGCACTTTTTGATTTAATCTCATCACTACTGTTACCTTAAATTAAATATTACTGTTGAAATGGACACACATTAGAATTACACCCCTTATAATTAATATTACATTAGGAAACATAGAAATATTATTCCTAGCAGAAAAAAGAAGTTGCTATATTCTAATTCCAGCACGTAAAATCAAGCATTCATGTTTATATGGTCGTTAAAATTTATTTTTTCGTTTTTATATCAAGTATTTATAATGAGCTGAATTAAGTACAATTAATTTATTATGTGAGGTGCATATTTGTTAATTATGGAATTCATATATCCCAACATTTATCATATCTCTTTAATTGTAAACTTACATCTCTTGAAACTTTTACTGACCTCCGTCGTCCCACTATTGTGAGACATGAATACTTGACTCATTTTAAAGAAAATAGTTGCAATTATGTGATTGATATGAAATTTTGTAAAGGGTGAATGCATTACAATCATACAAATATGATATAGAAATTGCTCTGGAGTAAAAACCTTTTAAAATCCACTTTCATGTTTTTTATTTTCTAGTAATTTTTGCCAAGTTTGAAAAAAACAATCATGTTTAAAGTCTAAAAATGTCAAACTTGGCAGAAATTACTCTTATTTAGAGAATAAAAACGCGACAGTCCTATTTTGAAATTTCAAAACTCTTTTTACTCATATTTAGAGAATGTTCCAGGAGTGGATAAAAATACCAAACCGGCATATATGGTACCAAACCGGACTGGTATGGTACCGGTCCGATAAATAGGGTTTGAAGTGGATCTCAAAATTTTTTGTCCTGAACCGGACCGTCCCGATTCCAAAAAATGCCATGATGGGTTCTCATAAAATGAGAACCCGTACCGAACCGAACTGAAATACTCCGTATATGGTTTAATTTTATAAATTTGTACTACTATAGTTTATCTGAAATTTATTAATTACACATTCTTCCCAAATTGATTTGCAAAGTCAACATTTTTTGTCAACCAATGTTAATGTTAAGTCCTCCATAATGGTATTTAATACAATTTTTAATAATTAAAATTTATATATTTAGAAACCACATTAAATTCTCTTTAAAGTTGCAAAATCCAAATTAGAATGTACAAAGTACTTTTTATTGAAAGGCCAAATTAGAATATAATTAAAAAGTGATATCCTATTTAAGTGAATAAAAAGAAACTGTTAAACCAAAAAGGGTTGACTTTGCAAATCAATTTAGGATGACTAAACATTAATTTTTTCTTAAAGACTTGAAAAAAGTGGCATTGTTTGGTGTTGGTATGGCATGGTACCGTCCCGTTTAAAAAGGGACAGTACTGAACGAGTTTAGGTTTGAGACCGAACCGAACCGTTTTAATAGTCACGGTATAGGTACGGGTTCGGCAAAATATTGGACGAGACCGGACCATACCCACCCCTAGAATTTTGCTCATATGATAAAATGTACACACACAATTACACAAACGTATTGAAACAGATGAATGAGGAAGTATTTTTAGTTCTATCTCAATTGTAATCCTAGCTCAGTGAGTTGCGACATAGGCCGTCTATCGTGAAAAACTCGGAATAAGACTTCAGTAGTCCTGATGGAGGGATTTCCCCGACATTTACTACACCAATGGGTGATTTGGCTACCGGAATAAAAAACAAGCATTTCTATTGAATCATCTCTTTTACCTGTATGTGAAGATGCACATACCATTCAAAAATGTGACTGCTTGTAAAACATTAATCAAGTTAGTAACTTTGTAGAGACAAATTATATTCGGCTTTACAATGCAGTGACCACACCATTGCAATTGTAGTATTTTATCAAACGTTTTATTTAAATTTTACTCCGTCTTTTTTATTTAGCTAAACTTGACTTTTCAAATAAAAAAAGTTAAACCATGACCGATTATATTTTATACACGATAAAATTGACCATATGAAAATAATATGAAAATGTTCTTTGTTGAAAATACCATAATAAAAATATAAATTTATTAAGTTTCACATAAATATATTAAGTAAAATAATTGATCAAAGTAGAAATGTCAACGAGGCGGATCGGGGACCGTTATACATAAAACCGTACCCGCCCCATTGGGTTATTTCTTCTCCCTTTAACCGCCCCATTACCTATTGGGTAACCGGTTTATTAAATGAGTCATTGATATTTTAATTTAAAAATTAATATTTTAAAAGTCGAAAAATGACATCGCCCAGGCAACTGTAGACGTTAGATGGCACTTACAAGTTTCATATTCTACAAGACAATATATAAAGCAACCTAAATTAATTAGAACCTAAAAATATTTAAACTGAAAAATAATTAATCAAGGAAAAATTTCTGATAAAAATCAAACAAGACAGTTAAAATCAATTATGAACTTTCTTTCAAACATCATAGTTAGTACATCTACTATCTATATATCCATATATACATAATGAAAATAGAAAAATGTCACCACTTATTAGTTGTGGGACAAATAATAGATATAATGTAATAAAAATATAATTAAAAATAAATGGTGCGGGTACCGTGCACTAATAGGGGAGAATGTTATCATGAAAAAGCAAAGGCTTCGGGAAAAAATTCAAGTAACATCTCGCGGAATGTTAAAATTTTCAAAACAAAATTAATCCTGGTCCGCGCACGTACGTACGTACGTCAACTGTGTATATATATGTATGTACTCCCAAAACTAAAATCATTTTTTATTTTTTATTTTTTTTATTAATGTATGTACTCCCAAAGAAAGACGACTACGTATAGTAGTGTTGTATCAATATCTGTCGCTGAGCGTCGCCCAAACACACAGAATTGAAACACCATATATAACTAATAAGCTTGTGTTCTCATTTTTACTATATATACTGCTGGCGTGGCCATGAAATGATCCAATGTGCCCTAACGCCTGCCCTCTTTAATTTGTTCTATACATATATATCCATCCCTATTCGATTGCCCGGCCTCCATCTCGATCTCTGATCTATTACACATACAATTCCTTGATTGTACGTACAATTGGATCCGGCCATATCATGATGGGTTACAATGATACGGGAGATTTCAGCTTCCCGGATTCCTTCAACAGCCGCCGCCCCCGCCCACTCACATTCACTCACCATCTCGGTACGTCGTCGCACGCGCTCAGTTTAATTTTTTAATTAATTAAATCATAAATAAAACGTAACGGCCGGAATAATATACATATGCATGCGTGTATGTATATATTGATGGATGGAATGGAATGGAGTTTGATTAGATGCCGGCCGGCCAGCCAGCTAATTCCGTAGTAATGTACTTATCTTTAGGCGCTATGGCGGGCGAGCAAAGCAGGAGAGAGCAGCAAGTGGTGGTGAGCTCGAGGTGGAACCCGACGCCGGAGCAGCTGCAGATGCTGGAGGAGCTGTACCGCCGGGGAACGAGGACGCCGTCGGCGGATCAGATCCAGCACATCACCGCCCAGCTCCGCAGGTACGGCAGGATCGAAGGGAAGAACGTCTTTTACTGGTTCCAGAACCACAAAGCCCGGGAACGCCAGAAGCGCCGCCGCCAACTGGAGTCCGCCCAAGCCGGCCGTACTCTCAATTGCATGCCCAACTCTGCCGGGACAAAGGAATCAGCACCAGCAGCTGCAGCTGGTAATTAATTTAATCCATCATTTTTTTTTTTGCATATTTCGATCCCTGAATTGGCTTTTTCCAAACTACGGAGTAATTAATTTTCATTTCCCGGCCCCGGATACATTTGTTCTTAATAATAGTGTCATTTGTTTTGTTGAAATGATTGATTATTCGCCTGCGCGGACATTATATATTTATTATATTATTACAGGGGCAAATATGAGGACAAGGATTGAAGTGGATGCACAACAGACCAAAAACCGGTCACCATCCCACACATCACTTACTCCAGAGGTCCATTTTTATATATACTTTTTCCTTTTTTTTTCAAAATTTATATAATGCACTTGATTGTGGAGTTATCCACCTTCGCTAAAAAATACGGAATTGACTGAGATTTTTAGAAGGAATTCGCCAAAATTGACATGGATTTTGACACGGATATGTCAAATCCATGGCGAAAACAATTTGGTACGAGCTATTTCACATGAAATTATCCATAAATTCGTGTGAGATCCGTATGAATTCTAACTTTGTTGTAGTGCTTATTTTTCAAGGATCTCCTCAATAACATAATTGTTTTTATTTAAAAGTACGTGAGAAGATCTTATACATACTTTTTCGGATGAATTTGAAAAAGTTCTGGCTAAATTGTTTTGAGCTTCGGAGCGGAATATACCAAGTATATACTCCCTCCGTCCCTAATAACTTTGCCAAGTTTGACCGGCACGGGGATTAATAAAGTAAAAACTGTGTGGTTGAGGTTTGTGCAGAGGAGAGAGAATTAACTGGAACCACAAATTCTTTACTTAAATGGCAAAGTGGCAAAGTTAATGGGACATCCAAAAAAGGAAAGTTGGCAAAGTTATAAGGGACGGAGGGAGTATTTTACTTTAATTTTGCATTTTCCTTGTAAAATGGTTGGTGGTCTGCCTCTTCCTCAAACATCATAGTCCACTCATTGGTATTTTCAAGTTAAAAAATACTTGGTATATACATACATGTGTATGTTTTTCGTAAAGAATGAGGTAAAACCAACCTAGGAAGAATCTACAAAAGGCCGGCAGGTGTTTTCATTTTAATTTGGAAAATTAAAGGGGCACGCATTTTAACTACTCCGTGATTAATTACAAGCTCGAAAAACAACCCTTAGTTTTTTCAAACCAAGGTAATTATAAGCACATGATTAAAAAGTGGGAAGATAAATGTGGTGGTCATTCAGGGTAGTGGGAGGCAAGAAAGAAAAGCGGATTTGTTGGAAAACGAAAAAATGTTCCAAAAGCTGGATTGCTTCCTTTCTGTCGGTGCTGCTGCTGCGTGACTTGTAAGGATGCTAGCTAGCTATGTGGCTATGTCTATGTGTATATGCTACATAGGCAGCCACCTAGGGTTTGGCATTCTTTTAATGAAACAAATTAATTACTCGTATATAACTAAAAATCTAGTTCGGTAAGGATAAGTTTATAAACCATACTTGCCAAAATAGAAATGAAAAGTCTAAAATAAAAAATTTACTTTACCGAGTCATTAAGACTATCTACTCATTTATTTCTAATTTAGAAAGTTTTAATCAACTGTTTCTTTTAATATGACTACATAGGTCCTATTAATGGAATAAAACACACTTAGTCACATTTTTGAACTTTGTTTATGTTTTGATCCTATTTTGATCAGTTTCTATATCTTGAGAAAATTCCCAAAAGGAAACAATAACAATGATAAATTTCATATATAGGACTATCATTGTTTTATTATCGAAATATGACTCATTCATTTCTAGCTTTAATCAACTGTTTCTTTTAATATGACTAAATAAGTCCTATTGAGGGAATAAAACACACTTAGTCCCATTTTTTGATCAATTTCTATATCTCATTTAAATCCTAGTTCGACTTTACAGTTTTCAAGAAAGTTAATTTTTTACCTTTGTTTTTCCTATTATATCAATACGAAGAATAGATTATGTGTAGAGTGAGATGAAAAATTAGCATAAGATAAGTACGTAATAAAAGTAAATGTATAAAGATAAATTTATACGGAGTAATAAATGCTTTTCAAAAATAGAAATGAAAATTTTATTTATTTACATCAGCTAAAGAAGAGGATATAATGTGTATGTGTTGTGGGAACCGTATATATTTGGTGGAGTATTGGTTTGCACTTGGGACATACAAGTGAGATGGGCACCCATATATGCATGCCGGTTGATTGCAGTCTTTTATAGTGAAAAGACGTACGTACGTACGTTGATAGATTCAATCAAATTTGACTTTCCTATGTACCACAAAGTAGAGTGTCCCGGCCAAATCAACAAGATATGATCTACCTTGGAACTTCAAATTAATGTCCTCAAATCCTCCATCAACCTAGCTTAGCTTTCCTGTACGTAGATCCATCATATCCGTCGAGTTCTGTGACCAATCCATCAAACTCCGAATCCATCTCCATCTAACCATATATCAACCATGTTTGATGTACCCACTCTTATGCCCATCATTTTTGTGGAGATTTTTTTGTCTGTGAACCCGGTTCATAGACAATATTTTGTTTATGCAAAATATTGTTTGTGAGCCGGGATTCACAGGAAAAAAAAACACTTCACAGACATAAATGAGTACAAAAATGTGTATAAGAATGGGTATAAAAATCATTTTTGAACCACATATACAACATAGTGAGTATATATTAATTGAGGTATGTAACAACACCTACGTACCTAAGCTAGCTAGCTTCTTGTCCTCAATATACTTCACACACATCCTCCACCAACCTTCCTGTGTCGTAGGGTTGAGTAACATCTACCTTCACGTCCCAATCTATATGTTTACAAATTGCCTTTTACCAATTCTATTTACTATTTAACGGTTGGATGGGATGTTTATGTTACCCAACTAGGTTATTCAATTCCAACCTAACTTTAACAGTATTTTATTTAATGTTCATATATACTTAACTTAGCATACAAATTTATACGTACACTTCTACTTCATTTTTCATTATTGTATTCAAACAAACATCCAAGAGTATTTTCATGTGTCAAATGTATACTCCTTCTGTACTGCACAACTTTGTCATTTCTGACTTTCTTATATATTTGTGTGAACATTATAAATTTGTGCAGGACAGAAGGAGTATAATGTGAACATTATAAATTTTTTAACTTTTTAGAAAAATTATTTAATAATTTTTATGTCATTTTCATATGATAAATTATTTTGTTTTAAAAAATGTTATTGGTCCAAATAGCTGAAAGTTTACTTATAAGTGCACGTGAACACACACACATGTGTGTGTATTATATTATGTTCAATAAATAGTTATACAAACTTAAACCATATTTTATTGTTCAAAAATCCTAAATGCAATACGTATTTATATTGCATTGTTCCAAAGTTAGGGGATGTTATGTATATTTACTAATTACATAGGGAGTATTTAATATTCCGAAGGTATAGTATATGAATTGATTCTATAAGGAAATGTTGTTAATAATAATAATTATTATTGTTAAATAATAATAATAATAATAATAATAATCCGTAGTAGTAATTATTGTTATTATTATCATTATTATTAGTAATACCCCTCTTTTTAAAAATGGATCCACCTTCACTATACATTACTCACTCTATCCCATAAAATTCTTCAACTTTTCAGTTTGAAATGTCCCAAAAATTCTTCTCACATACCTTTTTTGGAAAATTTTGTGTGACTAGTATTGTATTGATTTATCTTTTTTCTTACTCAACCACAACCACATAACACAATTACATACGTAGTATTTTCACTTTATTTCCACTATTTTAATAGACGTGCCGAATCAAAGTGAGAAGTACGTTTTGGGACGGAGGGAGTTATACACACACACAGTATGGATCAAGTAAAAAGTGGTTCCTAGGTGAAAAATAAGAACTAATCTTGACTATTGATATGAAAAAATGGATGGAAGAGATCAAATTTTAATTGAAAAATGCGGTGGCGTTTTGGTAATTATGAAGAACTTTTGATAAATTTTTAAACGAAAAGTGTACCAATATATGCAAAAAGTGTACATGCAGAGTACAAAAGTGAACAACGGTACATCATAAAATGTGCACAAATTTTAAAAAATGGCAATCTTTTTTAACTCTTATGAGTGCACTTTTATTTATTTAATATCCACTTTGTATTATAAACGTTTGCACATTATTTGAGTCCGTATCTTGTGATTAAAGTTCATCCAGTCCATCCATTTACAAGTGATTAAAGGCTAAGATTTGTTCTCACTTTTCATGAGAAGACTACTTTTTACTTGAACCAACCCCTACATATACATACATATATATGTATGTATGTATGTATGTATGTATGTATGTATGTATGTATGTATGTATGTATGTATGTATGTATGTATGTATGTATGTATGTATGTATGTATGTATGTATGTATGTATGTATGTATGTATGTATGTATGTATGTATGTATGTATGTATGTATGTATGTATGTATGTATGTATGTAGGGAAGAGTTCAAATAAAAAGTGATCTTCCCGTGCAAAGTACAAATTTTCACTTTTGCATGTTTCGCTTGCACTTTTGCATAATTGAGAATTTTGTCAAAACCGGCCAAAATGGCGGTGGCAGTTTTGTAAATAACTTGGTTTTTTTGCTACCGCAAAAAAGTGCAACAAGAACATGAAAACGTGCAAGCGAAACATGAAAAAGTGCACATTTCGCACGTTGCACGGAAAGACCACTTTTTATTTGAACCACTATATATAGAGAGAGAGGACTTTTCATGTCCAGCCGGCCTGACGGGAACCGCCGTCCGGCCAAGGGCATTTCGGGCACTTCCCCGTGGAATTTTTTGATGAAATTTTTTGAGCATGTTCTTCATGAAGTCTAGTTTATCCATACCAAATTTCAGCTAAAAATTCAATCGGGAAGGCACTCAAATAATTTCTTCAAGTTAACTGGGCAGTTCATACATATAAACTGCCCAGTTAACTTCAAGAAATTATTTGAGTGCCTTCTCGATTGAATTTTTAGCTGAAATTTGGTATGGATAAACTAGACTTCATGAAGAACATGCTCAAAACATTTCATCAAAAAATTCCACCGGGAAGTGCTCGAAATGCCCTCGGCCGGACGGAGCATCCCGTCAGGCCGGCTGGACAAGAACGGGACTCATATATATATATATATATATATATATATATATATGCACCAATTTTCTTTTCACCTCCAGCTTTATAAATTATAATGTTATGTAGCTCATATATATATATATATATATATATATATATATATATATATATATATATATATATTGTTTCAATAATCCTTGTAGTGTATTTTAATTTATGGGTATGAAAATTATATATACTTATATTTATGTGTCTTCATATATCACCACTTAATATTGGTACGTTGTTGTTTGAGGAGAATTAAAAAGTTTTGATTCATTTAATGTGATCAGATAAACAAGTCAGCAAAAATGGGAACAATGATAGTGAATAGTAGAGTGATAGGACTGGTAGAGATGGAGGGTGGAAGAGAAAAGTTGGAAAGGAGGGAGCCAGAGCAGAATGACACGTGGCGTCATCAGATGTCACCACCACCTACCCATCACCACCACCGCCGGTTTATCCCAGAGGCAACCAACATCCCGACGGCCGCCTCCTCATCGTCCTCCTCCACTTCATCCACCGCAAAGCTGCTTCCCAGTCGCCGTCATCGGACTCTCAACTTGTTCTCGGACCCACCAGAAGCGAAATCCAGTGGGTTCCAAACCCTTCAGCTCTTCCCTCTTCGAGACGGAGACCAAAACGGAAACGGCATGGAGGAAGACGGCAAGGACCCGGCATTCATGGCGGCAGCCTCCATGGACGACAGCAACTCTCATGTGGTGAACGCCGCTCCCCATCATTACCAATTCTTTGAGTTTCTACCGCTCAAGAATTATTAAAACCATTTATACTAATTATTTAGATATAATTCAGTGTTTCGTTAATTTGTAGCTGAATAATTTATTTTGTAGCTGAATAATATATGAGTTTCATTAATCAATGGTGTTTAAATTTAATGGTGACAGTATGTATATGTATACATATATATGCTCTATCTATACGTATATGGTGATCAGATTTGATATGATGCCTTCTTGGTTCAGAGATAAAGTAGGATGAGAGTCCCCATAAGGAATTTGATTTGGAAGGGTTTGACTGACTGAATGTTTCAAAATTCTTGGAATATTTTATATTATGGTTAAATCCACATTCTTTTCCGTAATTGCTTATTGGGACTATGACCCAAAAGTTGGCAGTACGAAAAGGATACTTCACAAAGTTCATGTATATGCATAGTACGTAGCAGGCCACTTTTTTATTGGGATTTGGTTGAGTTCAAATCCAAAGAACAATTAATGACTACATCTCCCATGATCCCATCTAACTAATCCAAGCTACGGAGTATACAGCTCTTTATCTCACTCAAAGGGAGGAATCTTTACCTTAATGTCCTGCGTTTTGAGTTAGTGTAAAAAAAAAATTAACTCATGGATCGTCAATTAATTTGTACTATACGTACTGCCCAACTTCTACTCCGATCCATATAGCGTATTGCAGGACTGCGGAAATTAGAGAAAATGCCGATGAGAAGCTACGCACGCCATGTGCACTAGCCAGGCACGCTGTGCGCAGTGGCGGATCTATGAATTCAGCTATGGGTGTTCATTTTTTCTATATTTAAAATTTAAAAAGAAAATAAATAATAAAACTAAATTCATACATATATACTAACATATTTTTCAAAATTCTAGGTGTTCATGAGAACACCTTTGAACTAAAGTGGCTCCGCCACTGGCTGTGCGTGGCGGTTTTTGCGCAAATCGTCGTTAGTCAGACGCATTGGCGCGCGCACGCAATGTGAGAGTGCGCAGGACGATTTTTTTTTTTAGAGGTTTTCAGTCTTGGATCTTTATTATTCTAGGATTTTTTGACCAAAAATTATCTTTTTATCTTTTAGCTTTCTTATGTTCTTATACACCGTATTATTTTTACCATATATTTGTCTTTATCTTGTCTATTTTATCTTAATTTATCTTTTTCTTCTCCTTATCTTTCTTCTACTTTTGGCTCTGATATTATAGATCGTTTCAGGTTAGCCGAGTCCAATTCTTTTGGGAATAAAGCTTAGAAGTTGTTTTTGTTGTTGATAAACATCCTTAATATGAAATATATATATTTATATAAATCAGGGAAGTGCTTCAAAAAAATATGAATTTGAAATGATGTCAACTTCTTTAAAAGTTCATGAAAAAAATCCGCCACAATCACCACACCTTTGACTACACGGTTATAAACCTAGTGGTGGCCATATCGGTTTGGGTTAACCAAATCGAATCGTACCAAACAGAATTAAACCGAACCAAAACAGATAAAAAAAAAAATCGAACCAGAATAAACAAATTCAATAAAACTTACATATATTATTAAAAATCACAAACACAAACCAAATCGAACCAAACCTAACCATAAAATACTATGGTTTTTATTTGGTCATAATTCTTCCAACCCGTTCCAAACTGAACCGAACCGAAACTGATAAAAACTGAATCGTAAATCAATATACCCACCCCTATATAAACAAGGGGTGGGCAAAATACCCGACCCCGTTAGTCCGTTTCAGAATTATCCCGTTATATTTGGGACACATTATTTTTGTCTCATACCGGTCCTGAACCGTTTCAAAACAAAATGGGACCGGCAAGTAAAATATACTCCGTATCTCATTCCGTCCCGTTGTTCCGAATCAAAATTGTACTTTGTAGTTTAATGAGTCTATCAACAACTCATTATCTAATCCAAATAATAATAATTTTCCTTTTTTGTAATTGTTAAAAAAATACTAATAATTATCTTTTTACATTTACACTAAATAAAATTATTCTTTTTAATACGGAGTAGTAATTTTCCTTTTTTTTTACGAGTTTTTTTCCGTATTAATACTAATTAATTAAGTATTTACGAAAATAGGGTTGAGTTAAAAGTATTTACGGATATACTGCTGGGCTTAACCCTGGTCGGGGTAAGTCGCCCAACCGTTTGGCGACTTATAAGTCGCCCAACGGTTTGGCGACTTACCCATAAAATTTAAACCTCAATAACCCACCAGTCCAGTACACTATCGAGAAAGAAAGTTTAAAAAAAAAGCAAAGAAAAGAGGGGCAAAATTGTCTTTTGAGACCTGCTAAATTTTACGAAAGTGAGCTTCTTTAACTTTCCCACACCTAAACTCCTTGGAAAGTTTGAAGCCTATAAATATGAACCACTCATCACTTAATATTAAAAGGTGAAGGAGAATAGGGGAGCTCTCGCGCACACAAGAATTCCGGGTTCTAGTTCAGAACCAAAAATTCGCACCCCCCCCTGCGCGGGGCGACCTGCGGACACGATAGTCGTTAAATTTAGCAGGTCTCAAAAGACAATTTTGCCCCTCTTTGCTTTCCTTTTTTTTTAAAACTTTCTTTCTCGATACAAGGTTAGCGTAATCTTGTTTATTAATTTTATGGGTAAGCCGCCAAACCGTTGGGCGACTTATAAGTCGCCAAACGGTTGGGCGACTTATAAGTCGCCAAACGGTTTGGCGACTTACCCCGACCAGGGTTAAGCCCAGCAGTATATCCGTAAATACTTTTAACCCAACCCTATTTTCGTAAATACTTAATTAAGTAGCATTAATACGGAAAAAAACTCTTTTTTTACAACCCAAATACCAATGATTATTAAAATATTAGTTGTTTAACAACATAACACCTAAAAAAAATTAAACTACCTAGTATGCACTATGAACTATCATTTATCTACAAAAAAAGAAAATGATTTTTACTCCCAAGGCTTTACTTCTTATAGTATTCTTGACGAGCACTTCATCGTAGTGCGTCAAAATAATATTCGATACTAGCACTTATACGTACGTAGTATAGGTGAACTAGCACAGGGAAAGGAATAATTCTCTTTTTAATAAAACTAGTAAATAGAGGGGGGTTTTGGGATTGAGTGAATTAATTTAATTAAACACGAAGATGAATGACTTATATGAGTTTTAATTCAAGAATAAAAAGGACTTGGACTTGCTATTTTCCACTTGTTGATATATTTATTCGATCATTGTTATATCTATAACTTATCCCCTCTCGAATACTCAATCGAATAGTATCTCCAATTCATCGAGGGGAGTTATTAACAACGATCGTTCATTAACAACCCTTACTATTAATCAAATATAGCACAACGTCGTATACCAATTTAATAGTAGCATTTAATCTCTTTAACTCCTTGATGAAATCAATTGAGATTGATAACCTAAACACAACGGTTTCGGTTTAACCAACAAAATCTCTCTTAAGTTTATTAACCACGGCCGTGCATTAATAAACCTAAGTTACTTACTTGTGAAACCATCAACGATTAACCATCGGTTCGTTGATCGTTTTTAGTAATAATTAATATCGGAATGTTAACACTACTACATTTTAAGGTCTATTGTAACGAACAAATTGTAACATTTGTGTAAAGTGTTACAAAAAAGTCTTCTATCGTAACAGTTTTGAGTTTATCGTTACATTTATTTATTTAGTGTTACCTTTGATATTTTCTAACGTAACACTATTATGGTCAAAGATAAAGTGTTACAGTTGTTTAATAATTGTTACTGTTGTGAAGGCTAATGTAACACTTTTTAAATACAAAAATTAAAAATAAAAAGCGGCAAAATTAGAAGACGACTGAAATTTCGGAAGAGGCAAAAGAAAGTGTTAGCGTTACAGGAGAAAAATTTACGCCAGAGTTTAAGAGCTAATGAGTTTAAGAGCATAAGAAAAACCCTATCGCACGACAAACTTTCCTTCCGCACTACACTGCTCAGCCGCACTGCGCTAATGAGTTTAAGAGCTGCCGTCACTGTTCCGGCCGCTGTGGATTCTCCGGTGAGTTCAGCTGCACCGGATAAACTCGCTGCAAGCATCCCAGGTCTCGCCTGCAACAGAGTCGCTCGTGGACCGCAGCTGGCTCCGCCGGCCACCGTCTAAGTCGCCCTACCACCTGGTCAGAGAAGGTACGCTTTGAAGCCCGCCGGACCCCACCAAGGCCGGCCTCCGTCGCCGCCCTTGCGATGCTGCAACCGCCATCATACCATCACCACCAAGCGACGCGAACGGCTGTCTTTGATTGAAGCTACATCGGTAACCCCTCCATACGTTCTTGGTGTGGGATATTTCTTGGCTTTTTTTCGTTATGTTCAATTAGGATTCCTGTCTTTTTTTCGTTAATCCTGGCTTTTTTTTTCATTATGTTCAGTTAGGATTCCTTTGGAACATGTTTCTAACATTTACACTTTTTGTAGTGGCAGGTGAAGCTTCAACTTATCTGTAGTCACACGCCAGTTGATCGAAGAAATGCCACAGAGGAGGTGAATATGCTACAGCTGTAACTCCTCCATACGTTAAATATATTTTGCATTCTATTCGATTACATACGATCTCTATGATTATTTGATTGGAGCTTGTTAAACAGGTTAGGTGATACTTAGGTTATTATTCGTGCTAAAATCAGAATGTTTGCCGATTAATTGAATTGATGTAGCAACATTTTGACTTGCATAAATGATAATTTTTCATTGTCTGCACAATGATATGATCTAAGTTTGAAAATTAAGGAAAAGTAGAGAGGTTTACGACTTTTCTACTAAGCAACTTTTTAAAAGAAGAAACACCTCAATATGAAGAAAATGATCCTTCCCATTTCAATTTGGGACAGGAGTTGCAAACAAAAAATGAATGAAAAGTAAGTCATGGGTTTTAGTAGGTGGTCCAGTTACTAAACAAGAAAACAATAATACTCCGTAAAATATAACTACTAAAATATGATGAAAATAATTTAGTATAATGTAATAATATATATGATGAAAACTAACAACTAAGTAAAAAGTAATTGCTGTATATATATTTTTAAGACATTATTCACTAATCTTTTTTAATCACAGATTGCCAGATACATTATTTTTAAGCTTTTGTTAGACCCGTTTTTATGCAACTTTAGCTGGTCAAAGAGATTGACAGATATGATATTGTGAGTCTCGATTGAAAAAGACTTGTC